GCGCTGTCACTGACCAGAAAAGTGCGCGAACTGATTTCCCGCCGGCGCTTTTAAGGAGGGAGGGAGGGCGGGAGTGACGATTGGATGACGACAGTTACCCAAAAGCACCCTCGAGACATTTTTTTCCCCCAGAAGGCATTGGGGGCTCGACCCAGAATTCCAATGGGCAGCGGGGACTGCGGGAACTGTGGGATAGCTGCCCACAGTGCACTGCTTCCAATGTCGACGCTTTCCCTGGTAGTGTGGACTGACAAAATCGAATTACTGTCCTTAGTGTGGACACACACGTTCGACTTTCTAATATCGATTGCACATATTCGATTTAACTAAAATCGAACTACTCTCGTAGTGTAGACATACCCTTAGTGCCATAGCAGAGAGATCTGGAGAATTGAAAAGAAGAACCTAATGTGTACAGACAGCAGTGAAAAAGGAGGCAGGCATTGGCAATTAAGTAACCAACTGAAAGGACAAGCGTATGCTGCATGTGTTTGGTCCCAGCTGCTTTATGGTTTGGAAATGGTGGGTCTAACGGAGACGGAAGAAAAGAAGATACAGGTAGTAGAAAATAATATACTGAGGAGAATGGTAGGAAAGGTAGACAGAGTGTGCATGGAAGAAATTAGGGGGAAGATGAACTTGGGACTCTTGGTGATAGATAGGTTGGAAAGCAGAGGTGAGCTGGAGATGCAATAAGAATGGAAAAAGAATGACCAGCAAAGAAAGGATGTGGGGAAGAGGACAGCAAAAAAGGATGTGGAAGACCAAGGATACAAAGAAAAGATTCTATCAAGAGAAGTTTGCAGAGAAAAGGTCTGGAACTCCAAAACCTATGAACCTGTGCCATGGACTGGAAGGAGTGGTGAAAAATCGTGAGTGACTCCAACCCTGTGTAAACGGGAAAAAGAGTCAAGAAGAAGTGAAGTATGAATATTGACATGGGTACAAAGAGATGACCAAATCAGTGTAAGTCTCCAGATATAATTACGTAACATTAATTTCAATACACGAGGTATTTCTGGTTAAGCTGCTGCTAATAACTTTCCCAACAGCACCATGAAATTGACATGATTTTTGACAGTTTCCCTGCAGCCCACTGAATTTTTAAGAGCAGCAGTAAAATTCACCAAAGATTTATTCATCCACTTTGTAGCTGCTTAGTGAAACTATGAGCAGCAGAAAGCAGTGTTTCCACAGATTCAGAAAGACAGTGCTGCGTCAGTGGATATTTTGTAGTCATCTTCACATCTTTAAGAGTAAGAATTTTTTTTAGTTCAGTGGAAACTGATCCAGCCTCACCATGAAAGGCTTATTATTCATCACTGGCAGGTGAGTGGGTGGATTACTCAACCCTTGGTGACCCGTAATTCAGCAAACAGGAAAAATATATACGGGGAACGTAAAATGTATGAATATAGTTTTCATAGTTAGCCTTTTCCCTCTAGTAACCCTTCAGCACATGCACAATATATCAGAACAAATGTCAGCATGGGATAATGTTAAGGAGTATGACAATTAATTTGGGATAGAGAATGACACTAAATAGCTCTGATCTCAGGGAGGTAACCAATTAACTAGCCTTTTCTCTTGCTTCACACACAGACTCGGAGTGTCATGAGAGAGTTTATCCACTGAGGGGTACTGATGTAAGGGCATCAAATAGTGTGAATGTTCAGATATCTCTGAGATACAATTGTATGAAACTTCAATGAGAGAATTCTAGAGAAGTTCCTTGGGGACACAAATGGAATTCTGTTGGCAATGTTTGGAATAAGCAATAATTATGGTGATCTTAAACACACACAAAAAACAATTGGTTTGGTGTGTGTGGTTTTTTTATTTTATTTTACACTCTTCTTTCCTTTTTTAATAAATAAATTAGAAATTTCAAATGCTGCATTAATTTCAGTACCAAACAGATAATTTTCAAATCATTTTAAGATTTAATTTGTGCATAGACTTGATGGCTTAGAAGGTTGCTGATGGGCAGCAAGACTTTTTACCTTTTAAGTTACTGGTTCAGACCTCACCCTGGCTAGGAGTGCTCCCAGATAGTTATGATTTGATGGTTGTTTGGGGGGGCTATATTAAATGAGTTGGTTATCCCAGTTCAGTTTATTTTGACCAAGTATCCACATTCCAAAACTAAACACAATAAAAACACCCTGCAATCAGACTTGGCAGAGATGTATGTCTTTACTGGCAGTCTAATGAAGTGAGGAATCTTAAATACCCTAGCAGTGATTCCTCTAGATCACCATTTAGGCACACTAGTTGGTGAAAACAAAACACAAATGTACAGTAAGGAATTGAAAATTAGGAAGACCAGTGCCAACCTTAAAATACATGGCATAAGGCTGAAGATGTACAGATGGATGGAAATGTCAGCCACCTTTGAAAATAATATCTCCACAGCAAACCAAAAAGAGAAAAAACCCTAAAGCAGTTATCTTAGAACACAATGTGTTTAAACATTAACCTGTCACTCTCGGGGCAATTAAATAAAAAATAAATACTCTACTAAATAAGCTTTTAGGCACTCCTATAGTTCATTATGCTTCCATCTAGGATATGGTTGTTTAACAGTATTCTTGATCCTCTTACTGAATTAACAAAGGGAGTCAATGTAGAGCAAGAAGCTTCACAGTCACTCTCTCTTGGTTTAGGATGCTGGTAGCATTGCTCACACATAGTCCTATAGTATGAATCACATGATGCAATGGAATTCACAAAGTGTGAATAGCTTTTGTTGTGGAAAATTCTTACCCTATGAGTCAGTCAGAGATAAAATGAAATCCTATGTGAAAAAAATCATAAATATCTTAACTGTATATACATTTCTATTGACGATGTTGCCAAAAATTGGTATCTTTCTGATGGATAAATTTCAGGAGACAATGATAATTTTTTGTCATCACAACAACACTGGAGAAAGTGAGGTCCACTTTCTTATGGCAGTATATGAAATTTTTTAATGCACCAGTGCTAATGTTCTCATATTCTCCATACTATTTATCTATATTAAGTTTCTACACTGTTGTCCATCTCCAATAGCAAAGTCCCTTGTGTAATTTATGGAGCCCTCTGGCTTTTCTCCCTCCTCCTTACAAGCCAGACATTAGACTAAAGCTGGCAGAGACCTTTGTGCAAAGGCAAGTGGTTTTATATAGTGGCATGCCCTCTATAACTCACTATTCAGGAACAGAGCCATCACATTCACAAACCTATATGCAGTTGTTACAGAAAGGATAATAAAAGAACATCAAAAGCAGAGATGTTCTTTAGTAGGGCCTGATTGTTTCTGAAGCTGGCCAGCATATTAACTTCCCGGATATGCAGCAAGACGAACAGAAGCAATTGCCTATATCACTAGTGGAAATAAATGGCACCCTTCCACGCTGGTGGAAAGTCAGTATTGGCAGGTATATTGTCTGCTGACATTAGGGTCAAATTCATCCCTGGTATCAATGTAGTTACACTAGGGATACATTTTTACTAGAATAGCTGTCAACGATAGATCTCAAAGACTTTTCAGGATGCCTTATGATAGACGGACATGCAACAATCATTGCCAGGAGGAAACCTGCTGATAGCTTCATATTTTGGGTGCTATAAGATGCGTTGCTGTACCAAAGAACAGACATCTTTGACAGGTACTGAGAGCAGTCTGTCAACACATGCACATGGCTGAAAAGAACGAGAACTATATGACCACATTTTCAAATTTTAGGAGGGATGTGCCCCAACCTCACAAAAATTCCTAATCTTACCCAAGAATGGGACTTTATCAGAGTTTTATCTGAATGTCTATTTGCCATGTACCAAATAATCAGGAGGTTGAGGTCACAGGTCGACTTTTCAACTGAGCAAAAAGTTCAATCATCACCAAGTTCCAATGATACACCTCTACCCCGATATAACGCTGTCCTCAGGAGCCAAAAAATCTTACCATGTTATAGGTGAAACCGTATTATATCGAACTTGCTTTGATCTGCCGGAGTGCGCAGTCCGGCCCCTCCCCCCCCCCCGGAGCGCTGCTTTACCGCGTTATATCCGAATTCGTGTTATATTGGGTCACGTTATATCGGGGTAGAGGTGTACATCCTCTTTATGAAGAGTCTGACACAAATAGTGCTATATTCCATAAACAACACTTGACAGCTGCAGAAGATTTTATTTTGTTCATACTTCCTCTTCTTCTATGCTTTAATCCAAGCATGTCAGGCATAGCCAAGAAATGAAAATATTTTCCCTTTGATGCCATCTTCAAGAAATTGCTACTTGTTCTGAGAAATCATTCATGCCCTTCCATGCCCTAACAAAATGCAATACTGTATTTGTCCTACATATTATATCTATCCTAAATAACACTAGCACACAAAATGATCTCCATGTAAAGTTTTAAATCACAAAACTACTGAATAGCATTGGGGTAGACATACTGTAGTTTCCAAGGAGACAACAAGAAGCAGCTGGCAAACATTGGAGAAGTTTTCTTACTGTAGTACTTGTTTCGATGCAGGAGATAACCATCCTGTATTTTTCAAAGCAAGAAATGGTAACTGATATTTGTTTCTTAAAAATTCAGACTTACTGAAACACCAATACTGGCTATGCAGTATAATTCAATACTATAACGAAACAGAATTTGAGTAGCCTTATTTCTAAACTTTCACATTCACATTGAACTTCTGTGCACACTCCAGTAAATCTTCTTTTCTCTCTGACTGAACTCAACATCCACATATTTCGTACCTAATTACTTTACGTGACATTCATGCAGCACTTAAAACTGTTCATTCTGAATGAATGATTATAAAGCTGTCACTTAGAAACTAAAAGTTTTCTTAGAAACCAACAGTACCATGACTTAAAAAGTACATTTTGCTTATAGAGGCATTCCTTATAAATATGTGGTGCAATATTTTCAACATACAAATGCTTTATTTGTTATGCAGATAATTGCATAAGGTAACTTTTATAAAGTGCTATTTTCTTACCATGGCAGGAACCATCCACTTCCTCATATCCTACACTGCAGATGCATCGCCCAAGAGGCACAAGCCAATCCCCATCTGCTCCACAATACAGTTTTGGAGTATCCCGCTCCTCAGCGCTCTTCACACAGGAACCCCGTACTTCCACCAAAGAGGAAGAATCAACCCTTGGAATAGTATCAGGAAACATAGCCAAGTTACGAACTGTGAAAGGGCACTTTTTGTAGTAAACGCGGACAGAGACCAGAGCAATGCAGGCTCCAATGTCCTGGAAAGCAAGATAGAATCCTTTCCTATTTATTGGCCCAACCTCACGAACTTCTGTGTTGAGTTTAAGGATGCGGTCACCCAAATCCATCTGGGTAAAACTCTCATCAGCTGCAACAGTATCAATTTTAGTGTATTGGTTTGGCTTGAATTTAACTCCATGGGACTCATCTGACTCCATGTAGTAAAGGTTAAAAGTTTCTTTGCAAGTTCCCAGTACCCATGGAATACTGTTGCAGTCCCGCAGGGTAAACTTCATTTCCACATAAATTTTCTGGGCTGCATCACGGGAGATCCAATTTGTACGAAGCCAGTTGTTTTGGTTTGGTTCCATTACATTACATACCTGGTAGGTGTGAATGGGACGATTGTGTTCATCCATTTCAGTTATGGCATCCCACTGAAAAGAAAATAAGTTGTTTGAAAAACCAAGAATCATAACCTATTTTTTGTGTGTATATATATATAAAATATAGGTTTATATATAAAAACCTTAATAGAGTTAGAACATTTCCTTTACTTAAAAATTAGAGCTTAGATATTAATTAGAAGAAGGTTTACTATGGAAAAGATAGTTTGCATCTTAGAAGTTCCATGTTGAAAAGAACAGAAATCGAGAAACTGTATCAGTAAAACAAAATTTCGAATGATCTTGGCTTCAATGGAGGATGAAGTTACTTGGCATGTCTCAACATCAGACCCTATATGTTCTGTATTACTTTTATTGTCTCTTCATCAACCAGTCCCTGATAGCCCTCTGGTAATTTTTGTTGCCCTTCCTTCAACAACATGAAACTTCCAAATTTTCGTACAGCATTCCAGGTGTGGTATAACTGTACATATTGCTAAAAGATGATCACTTTGTATACATCTGCTTCTTAAGACAAACAGATACTGTATAATAGCTTAGCAAGGGTAAAAATAGCTTTTGAATAATGTGGCTATTAGCAAGTTCATGCATGGGCTTCTTGCCAAACCGTAGCATTTACAGAGTTTAATAGGAAATCATGCCTTTACCATGTAGTCAAACTAATATCTCAAAGAGCACACAGAATTAGAGATAAGCCCATCTTGTGAAGGTTAGATCTGAATCAGAATTTCAATGTTCTCTGAATTTGGAAGGTCAGGGAGGGATCTGTTTTTCCAATTCTGGACTCTCTGTATGATGAATAATGTTTTTGTATGACCTTTCCAATTGAAAAATCCAATGTGAATGTCTTCAGTAGGATTCATGCTACAAAAGTGTTTATTCTAATGCCACCCGTGAAAGACTTGTAAGAGGCTTACTTTATTATGAAATCTACTAATTTAAAGGGACCAGCACTGGTTATCAAATATATACTCAGTAAAGTTGAGCCAATAATCATTTTACCTCTAAAGACTCATTAACAATAATAGAAACTCAGGATATGTGTATTTCTGTTCCTTAAGAAGAACTATACTCGTAGTATAGATCTAGGCAGTATATAGATCTAAGGTACTAAGTTCTGAGTGGCCTTTCAAACGTGCCATTCTCATACGCCATTCTAGATGTAAACTGAGATAGCAGTGAGTTGAACAGCTGTTCCTAAATATCACTGAAAATGTCAGACTTCATTCTTTTAGTGCTATAAACTATCACCATTTACATTAAACTTTTACAGATTATGTTTGCAATGCTATTATTTTGAACATATATTGAACATATATTGAATAAAAGTTGTTTGCATGTGAATTAGTTACTATGGTAAGACACTGTATGAAAACATCAAAATGAAATGGGTAAAACAATTTGAAGTAGAGAAGTCCATGCAGTAAATATAAATATATATATAGAGAGAGAGAGATGCCTATCTCATAGACCTGGAAGGGACCTTGGAAGGTCATTGAGTTGAGTTGAGTCCAGCCCGGCCCAGCCGAGTCCCCTGCCTTCACTAGCAGGACCAAGTACTGATTTTGCCCCAGATCCCTAAGTGGCCCCTCAAGGATTGAACTCACAACCCTGGGTTTAGCAGGCCAAGGCTCAAACCACTAAGCTAGCCTTCCCCCTGTATTTTGTCTCTTGTCTCTTGACACTGAATTTCATTTTACCATGTTAGTTACATAACAAATGTTATGTAAAAATGTGCGTTAGAATTATAGTCAATATGCAGTTTCAGGTGCGATAAGGGAATAATTACCTTCAAGTCATTAAAACAACATTATTCAAACATGAATTCACATATTGTTAGCACATGATACTAAAAATATATTGCCCACTCCACAACAGACAAGACCAACATATTCTAATTTAGGTATCTAAGTTAAACACCTACATAAATGCTTTGGTTTTTGGAGATGCAGAACATCTATCATTCCTATTTGTTTCAATGCCCTGAGGAATGTGTACTTTGCTTAGGGGACTCTAGACTGAGAAAATCTAGATTGTCTGTGCTGAATATAATCTATGAGTCCTATAGCACATTCACCATTTATGAACAAAGGAACTGTTCTAACCTGATTTTGAGGCATCTGTCCTCAGTAATGAGGACAAGAGATCACCTCTTTACCTCCTTTCATTGTGGATATGAGGTGAAGAAATTAGTTAAAGTATTAAGCTCGGTTTTATAGAAGTCTAACCATTTGATGTCATCTTAAAGGACAATGTGAATACTCAAATGTAGAGAAAAATAATATTGCTTTATTCCATAACTTTTAAGAGTGCATTGCTAGTCCCATGGGGGGAAAGGTGACGTGGATCCCCAGGGGACTTCATCCCCCGTGGAGGTAACAGATCAGTCACAGTGGCAACAGCAGCAGCATTTCACAGCCTCATCAGCCTGATAACTTTTACCAGCCAACACAGTTAACTTTCAACAGCCTACTGTCATCAACAGAAAGAGTTTAGTGTCTATGAAGAATTTTTTTCCACAGAGATAAGGGATTTGGGAAGGGGAGGAGATTATTGTCAGCAGAGAAATCTAGGGAGGGAGAGGGGAACACATCAAAGTAGTCACACAATGTGAAAAGAATGTTGAGGGCTCAGAGCATAAGGGACAGCTAAGCAAGAGCTGATTAGGCTAGAGTTAAAATAAGAAACAATTGAGAAGGGTTTAAAAAAGCTACAGTTAAAGAATAAAACAAACAATAAACAATAAAACATGGGAAATAGAGAAGAATTAAAAAAAATTATATCATTAGAAACCCTCTGGACCCCCTGTCTATATTGTAAACTCTTTGAAGCAAGGACATGTAATCTTCTTTGTCTGTAAAGTACCGAGCACAGTTTGGGAACTGTATAGATAACTAAATACATAATCTCCTGTAATTTAAACCAAAACAAGAAAAAGTGCAAAAGGCTCTCTAGTGGCATGTGTACACCAAGGCACGTGTGTGAGGAAGATGCTACAAGAAATAGCTCCAGAGGTCTCCTACAAACATTGGGTCAAAAAACACAGAAGGATTAGCCAGAAAGTAGTTTTTGAACAGGCAGTCAGTCATATACTGTCCTGTTGCAGTGAATTAGCTTAAAAGCAAAGAGCTCCTGCACGCTGCTACTCTCCTTCAAAATATCTTGTAAAAATATCATTCTTCTAATATGATATTTTCCTCAGAACTTTTTAAATATTTACTTTGAATCAATACCCTCCTTTGAACATTACACAAATAGAGTCTTTAATTCTGCTGCTGGGCATGTAGTTAAGAACATAAATCTGTTTTTTCTGCAGTTAAGGAAAAGGTTCTCCATATAAATAACAACTACACCTCTACCCCGATATAACGTGACCCGATATAACACGAATTCGGATAGAACGCGGTAAAGCAGAGCTCCAGGGGGGCGGGGCTGCGCTCTCCAGCAGATCAAACCAAGTTTGATATAATGCGGTTTCACCTATAACACAGTAAGATTTTTTGGCTCCCGAGGACAGCGTTATATCGAGGTAGAGGTGTAGTTTCAAAGAACAAAACAAGAAGATCCATATATAGGGACAGTTTTTCTAGTCCACTCAGGGCAGATACAAAACTTTATTAGAAATCCAAATGTATTAAACAAGAAAGTAATAGCTAGATGATGAATATAATATACCTTTAAAATGAACATCTAATTTGCTCCTGCCATTGTATTTGGAAATAAAGTGAATTAGAAAATGCATATGTTTATATATTTGTGTGTTTCTTATCTCTACTCTTGGATGCCAAGCTCAAAAATGGAAATAGGTCCCCAAAACGTCTACCCAAATTACTCCAAAATTTGAAAGGCATCTGAATTTGTGATACTCTGTGTCAAGAACATGTTGATCCTAAGATAAATGCTTGTTACTGTCTGTTTTTATTCTCTACAAAGTTAATATAATATATTGAATTTAACAGGTAATAATGGTCCTGCAATATTGAACAATTGCTAAAACAGTTCCTTAAAGCAAAAAACAATCATAGCCAGACCTCTGAAAAGTGCATGGTTCATACATATGGTGGATGCTCAACACTTCTGAAAACTAGTCCCTTTGAAGTTGAGTCAAGTAGATTTTATGCTTCCACTTATTCAGGGGCGGCTCCAGGGATCAGTGCACCAAGCGTGTGCCTGGGGCGGCAAGCCGTGGGGGGCGGCTTGCCGGGTGCCGTGAGGGCGGCAGTCAGGCTGCCTTCGGCAGCATGCCTGCGGGAGGTCCGCCAGTCCTGTGGCTTTGGCAGCAATTTGGTGGTGGGTACGCCGAAGGCGTGGGACCGGCGGACCTCCCGCAGGCATGCTGCCGAATCCGCATTACCAGCAGACCTCCCGCAGGCATGCCCCCGAAGGCTGCCTCACTGCCGTGCTTGGGGCGGCAAAATACATAGAGCTGCCCCTGCACTTATTTTAAAAATATTTGATAGCAGCAATAGCATAAAACTCATTCTATCAACACAATTGAAATAGTGGAGAGAAGAATTTGGAGTTTGGAAGAGAATAAATTTACAAAATTGTCTACTCAAAAGAGAAAATATTAGATTGGGCTACAAAACAGCAATGAAATTTTATTGAGTTAAAATCTCAGATGTTTTCATATCTTTACAAGCTACTTTACAACCTTCCCTTTTCGTTTTAGGACTTCACTAATGTTTAATCACTATATGGAGAACACTGTAAAGGGCCAATGACTTAATTTATTACCTCCTGGTAGCACTGTTATAATACTGGAAATTATTTTCACAGTCTGTTCGCGCGCGAGTGTGTGTGTGTGTATGTGTGTTTTAAAAAGCGAACACTACTTTCAGGTTAAAAAAATAACCACAAAAGAACCATTAATTGCAATTCAATAGGTGGTATTGATTAAGGTTTTATTTACACCACCATTAAGAAAAGATTATATTTCATATACCCAATTATTTTTCAAATACTTGTTACTTTCCATTTGAGGATATTATTATAAAGAAAGAAAGATACTGGGTCATTTTCAGTCCACT